ACTACATCATGACATAGCTTGCAGAGCAACTTCCCGGCATCCGAGTAGGCAGCGTGAGGATGTTTGATGCGGTTCTCGGCCCGATGGGCACGTAAGAGGGCACGAGCGTCAGCCATTGCGGATGAAATGCCGAACTATAAAATGCGTTGCTGGTGGGAACGGGTTTTCCAACTTTGGAGCTCAACGTAGAGGCGGGTAATGATGCACAATAGCTGAGTTGTAGCTATTGTTGTGGAGGTTGAATTGCAATGGTCGTGATGAGGCGGTGGGATAGATGCAGTACTGTATTCGGCAAAGCTGAGCGAAGGTCTGCCGTCAGCCACAGTTTGGTTATTGCTAATTGGGTTGACCTGGGGATTTGGAGAAGTGCCCCGCGCTGGCTTGTCTGACCGCCGTGTACCGTGTGCTCTACGGTACACTAGGGGCAGGTCCGGTAAGGGCAGGGGTAGGGGTAGGTAGCAAGCAGGTTTAGGATCGTCCCCACAAGGAAACCCCGGCGCGTAACATCGGATCGATCCTTCCTTCGTCCCCTCCACACCTCCCTCCGCGACGCTCCTGCCGACCCCGTTGGCATTTTGTCATTTTAACCCGGACGTCGTCAGCCATGGTACGAGACGGCCGCGACAATTAGCTATATCGAGGGAGCTTGCACACAAGACTTAGCTTCAGCGCCGTCAGCCATACCACCATGGACGAGGAACCGCAACAGACAGCCGCCACTTGGCCACCACCGCCTCCTTTCTGGAAAGCCTTCACCCCGGACAACATCGCGCGTATCGAAGAGCTACGCAAAGAGACAGCCGATCGCGCAGGCATACAAGACCCCTCGAGCGTCCGCATTGACGGTGTGCCCCGCGAACTGCGCAATCTACAGCCTCCGCCCGAACCCGAGGATGGAGAATGGCGGGTCTTCGGCGACAAATACCGCCTGAAAGACGAACTCCCACAGCTGGAGGATGGCGAGATCCGCCGGCTGTTCCCGAATCCCGACGAGAGGGACCAGGATGGTAAGCACTTTGACCGAGCCACCATCCTCAAGCGATTGGCCAAGTCGCTGCTGCTCAACTTCCTCGAACTCACGGGTCTGCTGGCCACGAGCCCTGAGGCGGTATGTCGCCGACGAGCCTCTCCTCCAATTTTGTTTTTCCTGTTTTGAGGTGCCGTCTCCCTCTGACTGACGTGAAACAACAAAACAGGCCGAGGAGAAGGTCACAGACCTCCGAGATCTCTTCATCAACTTCCACCACCTCATCAATGAGTACCGCCCGCACCAAGCCCGCGAGTCCCTCATTGCCCTGATGCAGTCGCAGCTGGACCGGACGCGGGCCGAGACAAATGCCATTCGTGACGCGAAAGACCATGCCGAGCGCGTGCTCGAAGGGTTGGGTAGCATAACGATCGAGGAACCACCCGACTACAAAACCATCGACGACGAAGACTCATTCGACCCGGATATTGAGGCCTGGACCATGCTAGTGGATTGCCACATGAGAAGGAGAAAAGACTCCTTTGGAGCTAAATTATTTTGACAATATATATTTTAGGCGTTATTGGCACACATATGATGGTCGGCCGGTACATCATTTGGCGGGCGCATGGCTTGGGGAAACAAAGGCTTTATGATACCCCTTAGAATCGTTCAATAGGCGAAAAGCGGACCGCGGAAGAGCAGTATATTGTAACTAGTAGATCTAGGAGGTTATTGCTACCAGAACTGCCCGCGACTCTTACAAAGAGTCATTCGTAGTTGTCGTCTCTCCAACCCACCCTTTGGCTGTTTACTTCCGGACCAAAGTCTGAGCGCGCTCTTCACACGTGTTGGCTTCTCGTATCACATCACGGTGCAAGGAATCGGGATGCAGCAGCACTCGAAGCCGTCGCATTCGATGCACCGCGTCTTGCCCGTCGCATCACCCGGCTTGACGATGCTCTCGAACGTCGACGACGCCGCGCTGCCGGGGCCGTTGTTGCGGTTGACGAGGGCAGGTGAGTTCGAGGAGCCGCAAGCCATCTTTTCTAGTCTTGGCCGTCCTTAAATTTTTTTTTTATGTTTTCAGAATCCCCCTTTTCGTCGCTGTTTGCCTTATTTGGGTCCGGAGATGGAGTCTATCAGTGGGTGATTTGATGTTAGTGTTATCTTCAGATAGATACTCTACTTTTATTCGTCTAGGAGGGCGCCGGGCTGCTTACTTACCAGGCAGGATGTGAGGGTATCAGTAGTGTGTTGTCCTTTTTCTCTCTAAGATAGGCCGACTGGTTGAATAACCGGATGCTAGTACTTGTTGAGAGAGATCGTGAAATTCCACGCTTCCAAAAGCATGTATGAGAAGATATACATGGGCACGTAGATCATACAATGCCATGGCGCGGGGAGTTTGCTGCTGACTCATCATGACGTTGCTGTGTGTTTGCTGGATGAAATTATGCCCACCTATGTCACCATGTGACAAGGCCGGATCCCTAGTATATCCCCTCTCGATCCCATGCTATTGGGTATTAAGGCAGTGATATCGGACCCTAATTATGGTACTACATAATGACTAGGTAGTGGTATAGCTGGATTTATTCTTTATGTGATGAATTGGCCCGGGTGACCTGATCATGGCCAATACGCATCTAGGGCTAATGTATTTCACTTAATCCATTGGGGAATCTCTTAAGTGTAAAGGAGCGCAATAGAATTCGAAAAGAAAAAAGAAAAAAGAAAAAAGAAAAAGGGAACTAAGTGCGTAGCTAACTTAGAAGTGTAGGTGTAGATGGTTAAGTTCGGTGGTGACCCTATTTCTGCTCCCTTTGCGTCCCCCCATATTTCTTATACATAGAATACTAGCCCCTTTTATTGGCTAATTCCCTCTTACAACCGCCCGCACCACTTCAGTCGTTGAGTACTTGACATTATAATTTGAAATTTCTTCCCGATTGTGTTGATCTAGTTAGTGTTGGGCCTCAATTTTCGGCTCTCATCCGTCGAGACGTCCATAATACTTTTCTAATCTTTAATCTCACTATACAATAAATAGCATAAAGCTCACTGAAATGTGAAGTATAGGCAGAAATGAGCGCTGTCGTCGTTGCACAAAGGGCCCCGGGGCACATCCGTTGGCCAACCCTGCTTATATAGATGCTGTGCTATTTGTACTACAGATTATTAGCTCCGGTCGCACAGCCTGCTGAATTCTAAAGGAGCTGAACAGTAACGAGAAGCCGCGTCCGAATCGAGAATCGAAGTCTTGTTCAAGATAGCTGACAACCGAATATTATCGGTGTCACAGGGCCGGGATACTACTCGGTTCCAGTGTGTCTGTCCGTGACTCTAATGTAATAGACAGGTAAGCCAGGGAGTCTTAATCGGAGTCAAAGGCCTTGATCACGAGTAGGTTTAAGAGTATAGCGTCTACTCAATCGAACTGTACCTTGCCTGGTTGGCTTAAGTATCCTGGTTACCGTCGTGAGTAGGTTTAATCCGCACACTAGGCTTAGAATGATCGCTCCATACGATTTACCATATGGCTACACTACTTCTGGAAGTGAATGCTATACTTGGTACTAGGTATCCGTCCGAAACATCGCTCAAGCGTATCGTTATCGAGTCACGAGGTTGGTCGTGTGAGAAACCTGTTTACTCTCATTCCCTTTATTAGCTAAGAGTCGAACTCTATTTTAAACAGGTATATAAAACTGCCTTCAGCCTTCTTGGTTTCCCCTCTCCAGTATCGTTCACAGTGCATATTGACCAACATCTTGCAAGCAGTCGTCAACTCGCGTTTCATCCCACGCCTTGGGCTCTTCTGATATGCGATCTTAACGACTGTGCAACATAACTATCCTTGAGTACCCTTGAGCACCAGCCTTTTTAACATAACAATACCTAAACTAGCTAGTATTAGCTCCATATCGCAGCACTCACCGTCCTGCCATAACTAATAAGTCTGCTCAGTCTCTTTCCCTACACCTCCTCATATCATCCAATAGAGACAACTACTAACGTCCCCCAACCAAGCAAACAGCCGCTCATACCCTTGGCCGGTTACCAAGCGCAATGTCAAGCCGAGATGAACCACGACGCGATATCCCTCGGTGGATCGGAAAAAGCCGCGCGGCGCTACTGGGAACCGTGGGCATACTGGAGCATTGGAAGCAGACGCTGCTTTGGCTCGAACAGTCGAACCGCCCGTTCTTCAGGCATATGAATAACTGGGACGAGGTCCATGCCATCGTCTACTGCGCGGAGATGTGCCTGGAGGTTTTGGATCTGGTCGAGGCCGACACCGACCCCGTGGATGTGAAGCAGGACATCGAGGTTAGTCGCTGGAGTCTTTTATCCCCCCGTTTTTAGCACGTCCTAGAGACACAAATTACCTCTACGGGCATATTCTGTGCTTGCCACTCCTGCAAGCTTCCAAAAAAAAACCCCCGTGTGATTCTTTCCAGAAGTAGACATGACTGACTCCAGTGTTATGTATAGGCGGTGGTTGCGAATCTGGAGACTATTAGCCATTGCTGCCACGTATCTATGTTAGCGCGGTCGAAGGAGTGGTTGGAGAGACGCGCTGCTGGATCAGGGAACGCGGGCTCAATTGAGTTCGTAAAGCTGTTCTGAGATGCCATTCGGTCGCCACTCTTGGAATGTGGCAGCTGGACGAATGCGCGCAAGAGATCAATCAATCAGTGGAGTGAGTATAAGTGTGCAATATTGACAAATTTATAACACGTGCACACCCTTATCGAATTCTGCAGATTGAGCTAAGGACGCTAATGAAATTGGGACTTTTATATTTTATATCTTTTGACATGGTACATATAGAGTTGCTAATAACCCTCGCCCTTAAAGGGACATAGTAATTGCCGTACATTACACTCGGTCAAATGGTTTACAATATCAAACACATGTTCAATCTTATTAATGTAAAATGGTGATCGATATAAAAGAACAAAAACTAAAGAAAAAAAATTAATTAAAAAAATTAAAAGAATGGATAGAAAAATAGCAGACAGTAATTCTCTCGATCGGGGAATCGAACCCCGGCCACCTGCGAATTGTCCCAACAGAGACCAAACCAACAAGCAGCTCGGGTCTCACGTCGAATGACAAGCAGGTATCCTGACCACTAGACCAATCGAGATGGTTTCTACAGGGATTATGGTGTAACCATGTGATAACAGAAATAATAATCACAAATGACCCTCCTTGTATAATGCATCTCGAAGGACTTTGAAAACAAAAAATAAAATTTTAAGTCTTAATAATAAAACTAGGCCCTCTAGAGATACTAAAGTAGGCATCCAAATAAATGTGGATAAGCTAACGCATCGCTAAATCATAATGGAGATTATAGAGCGATTGTAAGGCTGCACTGATGCCGCTTAACAGGTTCTTGAGTCTATAGTTCTAATCTGTGACATGTTTAACTCGGCTCTATCTTGCCAGGCCACGCACGAGAAACCTTAACGGGCAGTATTTCCACATTAAACAATGCGTCCGTAATCAGTGTCTCTCGAGCCTCTTTAAATTCGAATAGGAATGTATTAAAACGTGTGCACCTACACTAACTAATAATTGCTTATTACTGTCCAGTTCCGACACTTCCCGAAAGTACACTGGTTCTATGCGGGGGGTTATTTCTAGTTACTTATATAGCTTTGACAAAGTTTGGCGAGTCTATCTGGATGGAGGGAACGGGATGGCAACTATGTAGGTAGTGGCTGGGATCACGTGGATGATAGAGTAGGTTAGGTACCTAGGGAGGATGTCAGCCAAGACGAATCCTGTCTGTACAGGGACAAGGAGTGGTCATGACTGCCGGCGGCACAAATTTCGGCTTTCGATGCCGCATGCCAAGTCTGCGTAATCCAAATCCATCTTGCTCAATCTGGGCAATTGTGGTATAAGTTGCATCTTTCATCTTTCGTGTATTTCGTAACGGGTACTGCGTGCTGTTGACCTACCGAGATCGGTGGGGTCGTACTTATTACCGTATTGTCTAGTCTACTTAGGTAGGTAGGTTAGGTGGGGATGTATGTATGCTGTCATGTCTACCAGTTACCGCAGACGTATTCACGTGTATGACTCATAGTATGTATTTACGTACGTATTTCCTGGTTCTAAGTTATTATGGATATTAGTTCACTAGGCGAGTTCTATCTATGTTGCAACAACGTATTGATGCTTGAAACCGTCGTGACAGAGTTGTAGTATCCAGTCTCGGGATATCGTACATGAAACTTCACCCACCATGGTTCTCGAGATTGAGCCTAGGAATTGGTACCGCGATGAGTTCCTCGTCTCAACGGAGCACCGCTTCATCCAGGTCGATGCGGTGCGCTCAGCGATGAGCCCGGAGGTCATGTGGTGGGCGGAAGCGCCACCGACAGATGTATTGCTGAAGGCTCTGCATAATTCGCTGTGTCTCGGGTTATACGAGCTTCCCCAGTCAACCCCTCAAATTGCAGGTATGCCCGTCCTTCCCTAGCTCTGCGCCCTGGCGTTCCGTGCTTGGCTTATACTCATGAATCACAGGCCAGAGCGGTCCGAAGCAGATCGGGCTGATGAGGATCATCACGGATGACGTGACATTCGCCTACCTCACCGATGTGTATGTTTTGCCCGAGCACCAGGGCAAGGGACTGGGGCGCTGGATGTTGGCATGTCTGGATGAGATCATTAAAGCTTGGCCGCATCTGCGCCGCTTGATGTTCGTGACTTCTCCCGACACGTTGGACTTGTATAAGAAGGCTCTTGGCGCGGAGAACTGGAGCGAGCGCAGTAATGGGAAACTGATCATAGGGGCTGTTGATGGGCCAGCTGTTCGGCATCGATAGAGAGCACGAGTAGAAAACTGAGCGCTAGGAGGTTCACACCTTCGGGCCAGTCTTCCCGTACGCGCCTCCGTGGGCTCGTCGCAGCTCTATCGCGCGTTTGTAGGGCGGCGCGGTGGGCGGCTGTATAGGGTCGAGTGGCACGTGGTCTGGTGGTAGGCGGTAAGAAGCATCTGAGTCGAACGCAGATAGATCGCCGCATGCAATGAAGGGTGCAATCCACCTTATATCTGTCTCTTTGTGTTGGCGGTAATCCTCTGGCTCGACTTCGGTAATACCGTGCTCATCGGTGACTTGGGCGTAATGAGGGGCGCTATCCCAAGTCCCTGTTGTCTGGTTCTGCATTATAGTGGGCGCAGTGATAGGGAGACTTCTCAGATTTTGTTCCGTCATCTTATTCAGCCGGAACCCTACACCCAGGGGCTCCTCGAGACTCGCGGAGAATCCTTTCGGGGGCTGGAAGTTCAGACACACTATGAACGCCTCAACACTACTGGCCCGCGATGACCTAGGCTTGGCAACATGGACCTGTTCGAAGAATATCTTGAGCTGAGCGTACAACACATCGACGTTCTTGCCCCTGAATATCTTAGCCACGAACTTGCCGCCTGGCTTGAGAACGCAGAGAGCCAGATTCAGCGCAGCGAAGAGAAGCTGCGACTGCACGTAGATGTCGAGATCGTGTAATCCAGTTACATCAGGGGCGCCGTCGCTAAGCACCAAGTCAACAGGGTGAGCGGCCTGTTGCGACATGGTCCTTGCGTCGTAATCAGGGTCCAGGGCTTTCAGCAATAGCGGCACTGTCGCAGGATGAGTGATGTCGGCTCTGAGTGTGATGATTCCGGGTAGGGGACTGATTGGCTGCAGGTCAATGGACACGATCTTGACATTCTCCCGCGGCTTCGGCTCTTCGGTGTCGGGTTCGATCTCAGCGACCGACGACGCGACGGGAGGCTTCGCCGAGCCGAAAACCCCGAGCATCTGCTGCCGGAACTTGGCCTCCCGGTCCTCCCACGCGCTGCGGCCGAATTTCTCACCCTTGATCAGGACCCTGGAAAGCACCTGGGACCAACTGCCGGGTGCGGCGCACAGGTCAACCACCCGCGTCACATTGGCGAACAAGTCAAATTCTATGCATTCCAGTCAGCCTCGGGATTCTATTTTGAATTCGCCACCGATTTTATTTTGGCGGGGGAGGGGCAAAACAACCTTCATCGAGCTGCAAGAGCTTGAAGGCACTTCTTGCTCGCCAGCCCTGCTCTTTTGCGAGCCTGTAATATGCATCCCGCTTGTCCTTGGACGACTTCCCCATTTTGAGTATTTTTATGCTCAGAATAGAATATCGCCGTTGGATGAGTAGGTAAAGCGAAGAGGGGGACGATCAAATGGGAAGAGAGGTACCCTGAAATTTCAACGGGCGAATCAAAATGGCTGTCTTAGTGGATTGATTTAAGGCGTGGTTAGTTAGGTATTGCGCAGCGGTGTCGAATTGGCCAGGGTAGGTACAGCTGTAGCGTATTTACGCTAATGCGCTAATGGTGGGGTCGCAGGGTCTTCCCGATACTGGATAACCGGGCCAGGACGAAATTCTAAAGACTTTCGCGCTCCCTCTGCGACGACACGAACGGGACGCACAATCGATCGATCAATTCCGACCACGCAATTTTCTCAAAATGAACGGGGCCAACAAGAGGAAGTTGGCGGCCGGGAGCGCCTCGCTATCGGCGAAAAGAACGAAAACCACGTCCGTCCCCAGAAAATCAAAGAAGCGAGGTAAACGATCCGTCGGTCTCGATTCCCTGCCATGGAGCAAGGCTAAGCTCCCCGACATGTTCAATGATGCCGAGGGGTTCTATGGGCTGGAAGAAGTGGAAGGCGTTGAGGTCGTGCGGGGCGACGGCAGCATAGTCGAGTTTGTAGGCTGACGTTGTCCTTTATTCTCTCTTCTCGTACTAACAGTGGGTTACAAGAGAGCAGTTATTCCAAGCGACAATGACACCGATCGGGCCGACGAAGAGGACGAGCCAGTGAGTGATGGGTTCGAAGGATTTGACGACGAGCCATCTGCCTTGGCCGAGTCTGGCACCGCTGCGTCTCAAAAGGTGCCCAAAGTTAAAGTGGTCGAGAGCGCCTCTAGACCAGAATCCGAAAAGCTCAAAAAGGAACCAAAGAAGAAACAGAACAAGAAATCAAACGCGAACGAGGATAGCGAGCTAGAGACCAATGTGTTCGCTGGATTAAATGCTGTGGACGAACTTGAAGACGACATCGACTTATCTGAGTGGGTAAAATTAGACCTTTCTGCTGGACTATTGTCTTCGCTGGCCAAGTTGAAGTTCTCCAAACCCACGGCGATCCAGGCCGCAGCAATACCACATATCTTGGCTGGTCACGATGTGATAGGGAAAGCCTCCACCGGTTCCGGCAAGACCTTGGCTTTTGGGATACCCATAGTCGAGAAATGGCTAGAGCTGGCAGAGGAAGACAGTACCGAGACAGCCACTAAAACCCCTCTGGCTTTGGTTCTCTCACCCACTAGAGAACTTGCCCATCAGCTCACGGATCACATGAAGAACCTTTGTAATGGTCTGCCCAATTCCCCGTACATATGCTCTATCACCGGAGGACTGTCCATGCAAAAGCAGCAACGCCAATTGGCCAAAGCTGACATCGTTATTGGAACGCCTGGTCGATTATGGGAAGTTTTGAGCTCAAGCGCTGAAACCATGAGCTCTTTTAGGGGAATAAGTTACCTAGTGGTGGATGAAGCGGACAGACTTTTGACGGAAGGCCATTTCAAGGAGGCCGAGGATATCTTGACCGCCCTAGACCGAGTTGAAGTGGATGAGGAGGGAGAAGCGGCCGAGCCTTCTCCTCGACAGACACTTGTCTTTTCAGCAACATTCCACAAAGGTCTTCAACAGAAGCTGGCTGGTAAAGGGAAATTCAATATAATGAGCGAGGAGGACTCAATGGAGTATCTACTAAAGAAATTGAATTTCCGTGAGGAGAAACCGAAGTTTATCGACGTCAATCCCGTATCACAGATGGCTGAGGGGTTGAAAGAGGGATTGGTGGAATGCGGTGCGATGGAAAAGGTAGATGCGACACTATTCTCTATAGCAATGAGTAATGAAAGTGCTAACAGAAAGTGTAGGATTTATATCTTTACGCTTTACTACTTTTATACCCAAATGTGCGCACACTGGTGTTCACCAATTCCATCAGCGCGGCGCGGCGCATTTCACCAATGCTACAGAATCTAAATCTGGCTTCACATGCGTTACATTCACAAATGGCGCAGAAA